CGAACTAACAAACACAAACTGTAAACAAGTGTGTGTTAGTTTCAGAGTAGTTTCAGTGTAGTTAGCTCCTCCCTGCAGACAGATATAAGGAAGTGTCACCAGCGTCTGACCAGAACTGAAGAAGCAGCTTGGATGAGCTGAGAAATGTCTTCAACCAAACTAACTTTTGTCCAGTTTGACAAACTGAATTTTCTCCTTGCGATGAAACTCTAAAACTTTTATCTAGTGACACTTGCCTTTTTCTTTGGTGTGGATCTGACCTGGATGACTGAGGAATGACACAGACCCAAAAAAACACAGTTAACTTTTTACACATTTGATCAAAATGTGTTATGTAGCTGTTATTTATCCTGCAAGTAACTTCTGAACAACTTCGAGTTCAAAAGTTCTGAGACATTCTAGGCCTCTATCAGCCTTTAAACCAGGAGTGTCAAACTCATTTTGGTCTTGGGGCCGTATCCAATCTACTTTGATCCAAAGTGTCCGGATCAGAAAACTCATGTCATATAAACCCAAAAATAGCAATAAGTTCAAATATTTGTGCAGAGAAACGCAAATCTATTACAGAAATCTTTTTTAATTGATGAACTCTTTCTTTTACAAAATATTAAATTATGAACAACCTGAAACTTTAAGAAAAATACAATTTCAACACAATGTTTTAACATGAACTTGTCTGTAAACAGGAATAAGTCCATTTTTGTTGTAAAATCCTGCACTCGGCTCCACTTTTCTCATGTTGGACATTTTTCTGATGAGGGTGTCACGGTCAACAGTCAAAACGATCGTCCTTTAAGAGCGTTTGGAAAGAGACAAGTCTTCATTTGTGCTGCTCTGGTGGGAGGGGCCACGTACAGAGACGCTGGAGACGCTGCTGTGATAAACACCACAGAAAATTAACAAGATTTTAATAGAAAATATCATTCAAATATTTGAGTAGAAAATCAGCCGAGGGCCAGATTAAAGGTCTTGGAGGGCCGGATCTGGCCCCCGGGCCGTATGTTTGACACCTGTGCTTTAAATAGTCATACATCCAATAAACAGCCCAACTGGGACATGGAGCCGATGTCCGATCCAGCTAAAACTTCCTGGCTCGGCATCAGTCCCTAGTCTTTAGTCTAGTCCTGGGCTCCATTTCAGTTCAGTGTATTTTATAACTGTGGATGAGGATGTCTTGCGTGTGCTTCTGTCAGAACCGCCCGGGACTTCGACACGCGCCCGGGGCTCAAGTACCTCCTGATGAAGGTGTCTGGAGTGTGTGGAGCCGCCAACCTGTACCGCCAGTCTGCCATGAGCTTCAACCTGTACCTGCAGGCTCTGCTGGGGGCCATCCTGAGCCAGGCCGACTGCATCAGCGCCCAACAGGTAACGCCAACGAGCGGGGAATCCACCGCTGTAAGAATATTAACTTCAGTAAACCTGTTAATGTGTGAATATGAAAAAATGACAAAAAAAAGACTCAGTAAAGCTCTAACTGACTATTGATGACATGATGTTCTGTATCAAATTACACTTTGGTTTCCAGGTGAAGAAGATCCTGTATGAGGAAGAGGAGGGCAGCTCTGACTCCTCCCACCCGAACTCCGCCTCCTCTGAGGACGAGGACATCTTTGAGGAGACGGCTCAGGTGAACATTAAAAACAAACGCGGAGGAAGTCAGAGCTTCAGGGGAGTATCTTAGTAGAAGTCAGGTGCTCTTCAAGGACGAGGCTCAAAAGATAACTTACCGTAACTTCTGGACTATAAGCCGCTACTATTTTTTCTCACACTTTGAACCTTGCGATTAATAAAATGATGCGGCGAATATATGGACGGATTCTTTGTTTGGCACTTTGTCCGTTCATAAATAGAGTCTGTGGTTTGGTAACACAGTGGACACGCGCAGCCTGAGTGCAGAAAACGTCGCTGTCCGTGCGGTTACACATGGATCCAGAGTTTATATGAAGTTTCTACACGAGCTCACGATATTGTCAGTGCGCTCAGTTTATCTCCGTGTGATAAAATAAGTTCTGATGTTAAATGAGCATTAGTGAGGGGGACCGGAAGTCCAAATGTCATGATGCTTGTTTTCCAACAGAGCGCCTCAGACTTTTTTGACGGCTTTTACTTTATCACAGTGAGTTTTTACATTCCAAACTTATTAATCTTCACTGATACAACATCATAACTCTAAACTAGGACCAGAGATTGTTTCTGTTGCTTGACTCGTTCACTCTATGCCACTGTGTGGCCATTAGGCTTGTAAAAGCCTGATCCCGTCAGATCTCAGAAGCTCAGCAGGTTGGGCCTGGGTAGGACTTGGATGGAGATGGTCGTTGTGTCCTTAGGCAAGACACTTCACCCACATTGCCTAGTATGAAAGTGGTGTGAGCGTGAGTGATGGTGGTGGTGGGAGGTGCTGATGGCGCAGATTGGCAGCCTCGCTTCTGTCAGTCTGCCCCAGGGCAGCTGTGGCTACAGTAGAAGTTTACACCACTGAGTGTGGAGTGACTGAATAATGAACTGTAAAGTGCTTTGGGGATCTTGAAAGGCGCTATATAAATGCTATTAATCAATCAATCAATCACTCGTCGTACTCATGGTGTTAAGATCCTTCTGTAGCCACATCTGCCCTGGGACAGACTCACAGACAGCGCAACAGTGCTTCTAAACAGCTCAGACTCCACGTTTGATCCTGTGTCCTGTCCAGGTGAGTCCTCCTCGTGGGCGGGACAAGCGTGCCCCGTGGCGTGCCCCGGTGCCCTCCCTGAGCGTGCAGCCGGTGGGCGGGGCAGACTGGGCGTGGCTGGTGAAGCGTCTGTACAAACTGTGCATGGACCTGTGCAGCAGCTACATCCAGATGCACCGGGACCTGGACTCGGCCCTGGAGGAGCGCGCCGGCCTCGGGGTGGAGCACCTCCTCCTCCTGCCCATGTGCCACTCGGAGACGTCCACGCCCACCTCTGTCGGCGGGTACTCTGCCCGCGGTACCCCGTCTGAGGACTACGGGTACAGAGGGCACACGACAGACACCAGCACCGCCTCGCCCGGAGACACGCCCACGCCCAGCCCCGGGTTCAGGTCTGCTCATGATTCATAGAACTATAGTTATGTTTGGAACTAAGTGGTACGGTGGCCGACAGGGACGATGCAACGACCAAATGTGTCTCAGTCAGAGAAAACAACGTCAAGTACAGAAGCGATGCAAATTCACAAACTCAAAAACAAATTTAAATGAGGCGCAAACAAAGAATGTCGTGTTTGTGCCTCGTTTAAACTTGTGTTTAAATTTGTGAATTTGCACCGTTTGTTCATTGGGCTGATGCAGTGAGTTTGGCCCCTGTCAGTCACTGGTAGGTTTTAACCTTAAGATGTGACGACTTAATATCTGTGTCTGTGTGTGTGTGTTTCTGTGTGTGTGTGTGTGTGTGTGTGTGTGTGTGTGTGTGTGTGTGTGCAGCAGTGGCAGTTTGCCCCACCACTTCCGCACAGGCAGTGACAGCCGTGAACCCGGTCTGTCCTCGGGGCCCGGTCTGAGCTCGGGGCCCGGTCTGAGCTCGGGGCCCGGTCTGAGCTCGGGGCCCGGTCGGAGGAAGGAGTGGTGGGAGAGCGCGGGAAACAAACTTTACTCGATGGCGACGGACCGGACGCTGAGCAAACTGATGCTGGAGTACAAGAGGAGGAAGCAGCAGCAGCAGACGCCGCAGCAGAGCCACCTCAACCTCTTCATGAAGGAGCAGGGCCGCGGCACGGAGAAGAGGGGCCCCGCCGAGCCCCAGAGGCCCCTGCAGAGACCGCAGAACCTCCTGGACCAGCAGGGGCCCACCCTGAAGCACTCTGTGAGCGCGGGGCCCGAGGTTCTGCGTCAGGACAAGAGGCCCCGCTCCGGCTCCACCGTGAGCTCTCACACCATCTCCCTGAGAGACGCCGAGGCGCAGATCCAGGTACGAGCTCTGACGCTGTGGACGGACCAGTGTGGAGCCGAGTGATTAGCACTTGTGCCTCACAGCAAGAAGGTTCAGGGTTCAATCCCCTGATCTAGTGTTACAGCCTGGTACAGTGCAGGGTAATTCATGTTTATTGTGCACTGTCCTTGTCTCATAAATTAAATAAACTTGGGCCGGACACGTGAACGCGTTAGTTTTGCGTTAACTAATTAATTCATTAACGCTGACAATTATTTTAACGCCGTTAACACAATTTTTATTATTTATTTATTTATTTATTGTAAACGTCTGTTTCTTACAGGCTTTTATTTTTTTTAAATCCACCGCGAGCGTTTCTTTAAGTTTGACGCCTTTTCTTTACACTTTTTTCACTTTTTTCTGACCATGTGAGATGCAACGTGTCCGCGGGCTCAGCCGGGCCGGACCAGCCGCGGGTGGGTTCTGAGCTTCCGTGGGCTCCTGGCTCTGACGGAGCCGTTCGCTCCAGGTCACGGGTCTTTGTCTTCTCCTTCTTCCAGACGCCCCTGAGGCGTCCAAACAGAGGTGTCCGGTGTGGTTTTCGTCGCTGTGGTCTAATTCTATTACAGGGTATTTGTGAAGACTCGGAAGATATGGTGACATGATCCCGCCCATAACTCAATGAAATCTGATTGGTTCAGACAACTGTCAATCTCAAACTTCATTCCAGCCGCTGAAGGTCCTGCAGGTGTTTGTTTAGTTCAGCGCTGCAGGGGGAGTCACTGATTTACCCGGATACAACTGGAAGATAAACTGTGATTGGTCCATTTCCATTCCATTGAATTAAGTTATAAAAGTTTATAAATAACCTTTGTTTCCCAACAAATATCAGTTCAACTTTAAACAATGATCTAGAAATTATTACTAGTGTTGTGTTTATTACTCACTGAATAAAAAATGTTGAAAAAAAATATTAACAGTACAAAAATTCATTCAGTATTTTTTCTTGAGCCTTCAGAAAAACCTTGACGACTCTGAAGGTTCAACTCTGAAACAAATACTGTTTATACAACAGATGTGTGTGAGGTTCCAACATGACCAAGTCCTGACCAAGTCCTGACCAAGTCCTGACCAAGTCCTGCACAGTCCAGAGTCACACTCACCTGTTCACACACGATTATATCAAAGTTAAACCTGCACAGACCCAGAACCTTTAACACTCCCCGTGATAAATCAAGGTCAACCCAATAGTCCAGGACTGAACCAGGACTGAACCAAGACTAAACCAGAACTAAACCAAGACTGAACCAGGACTGAACCAAGGTCTAAACCAGGTCTAAACCAGGACTGAACCAGGTCTAAACCTGGTCTAAACCTGATCTAAACCTGGTCTAAACCAGGACTACACCAGGACTAAAGCAGGTCTAAACTAAGACTTAACCAGGTCTAAACCAGGACTGAACCCGGACTAAACCAGGTCTAAACCTGGTCTAAACCCGGACTAAACCAGGTCTAAACCTGGTCTAAACCAGGACTAAACCAGGACTAAACCTGGTCTAAACCAGGACTAAACCAGGAGCAGAGTCGTCGAGTCGATCTCTTCCGCTGATGATTTTCTGTCATAAAAACACTAAAGTCTCAAACTAAAATGTTCTGACTAAACTGAACAGAAAACTCAAAACGACAACAACAAATATTTTATTTTTTTATTTATTTTCCAGGCCTGGACCAACATGGTTCTGACGCTGCTGGACCACATCCTGCTGCTGTCCACGGCGTCCTTCCTGTCCCTGCAGCCCGTCCTCTACCCGTGCCTGAGTCAGCTGACGTGTCACGTGAGCGACCCGCGCGTCCGCCAGGCCCTGCGCGAGTGGCTGGAGCGAGTGGGACGTCTGTACCAGATCACCGCCGAACGCTGCCCGGAAACCGCCAAGTGACCCCGGGACCGCCGCGCCGTGATTGGCCGGGCGGGCGGTCGGGGGCGGGACGCTACGCCGATGCACAAGATCTGATTGGTTCGGGAGATTTGAGCGACAGAACGTTTACGGTTTGATTAGTGAAGGTTAATCTGTTAATCTGTGTGTCGTTTGTTTATTTGTTTTTCAAAATCAAACCAAAAAGAAGAAAATGGAAAAAAACAACGATTTTCTTCATTATTTTTCTCCAAAACCAAAATGAAAAAACAAATGATTCATTTTTTTCAGTTTTTGATTTTGTGTTTAAATGAAAAATGGAAAAAACGGATAACGGACTGAACCAGGACTAAACCAGGACTAAAACGGGTCCGGGACCAGACCAGATCCAGACTAGAACCAGACCGGGACTGAGATCAGGACATAGACTGGGACCAAACCAGAACTGAGACCGGAAACAGCCCAGAACCAGACTGGAACCAGACCAGGACTGAGACGAAGACTTAGACTGGGACCAGGACCAGACCAGAACTGAGACCAGGAACAGACTGGAACCAGACTGGGACTGAGACCAGGACTGAGACCAGGAATAGGACCAGGACTGAGACTGGGACTGAGACTGGGACCAGACCAGGACAGACCGTGATTGAGACAGGGACTGAGATCGGGACCAGAATTGAGTCCGGGACCAGACCGACACCAGGACCGGGACTGAAGCCGAGACTGAAGCCGAGACTGAGACCAGGACCAGACCAGAGCTGAGACAACTGAGAGACCGGGACTGAGGCCGAGACTGAGACCAGGACCAGACCAAAGCTGAGTCCGGGACCAGACCGCGACTGAGACCAGGACTGAGACCAGGACCAGACCGGAACTGAGACTGGGACCAGGACCAGAACTGAGACCGCGATTGAGGCCGGGACCAGACCATGACTGAAAATGTTTAGTCCTGGTTTAGTCCTGGTTCAGTCCGTTATCCGTTTTTTTTTTCCATTTTTCATTTAAACACAAAATCAGAAACTGAAAAATCAAATCATTATCAGTTTTTTCATTTTGGTTTTGGAGACAAATAATGAAGAAAATTGTTGTTTCGTTTTCTTATTTTTGGTTTTATTTTGAAATCGACTGAACAAACGACACACAGATTCGTTGAAAGTTGAAATCGATGGGTCCATTTATTTTCTGGTTTCTGTTTCGTTTCAGTTGCTTTCAGTGTTTGACTTGCTGCACCTTCTCTGCCGCCGTGGTGAAAGTACTCCATACTTTTACTCGAGTATAAGTACAGTAATGAGATACAGTTACAAAAAAGGTTCTTAAGAGAAAGTGTCAAATGAAAATTCAGTATCTAAAAGTATTACAGTCCGACGCACGATCTGTGTGTCGAGCGTTCATTTGGTTTTCAAAATAAAACCAAAAATAAGAAAATGAAAAAACAAATATTTTCTTCATTATTTGTCTCCAAAAGAAAAATGAAAAAAAAAAACAGATAATGATTCAATTTTTTTCAGTTTTTGATTTTGTGTTTAAATGAAAAATGGAAAAAACGGATAACGATTCCTGTTCACGTGACTTAAACTGTGATGCCGGACTGAACCAGGACTGAACCAGGACCAGGACTGAACCAGGACTGAACCAGGACTGAACCAGGACTAAACCAGACTGAACCAGGACTGAACCAGGACTAAACCAGGACTGAACCAGGACTGAACCAGGACTGAACCAGGACTAAACCAGACTGAACCAGGACTGAACCAGGACTAAACCAGGACTAAACCAGGACTGAACCAGGACTGAACCAGACTGAACCAGGACTGAACCAGACTAAACCAGGACTGAACCAGGACTGAACCAGGACTGAACCAGGACTAAACCAGGACTGAACCAGGACTAAACCAGGACTGAACCAGGACTGAGCCAGGACTAAAACATGTCTAAACCAGGACTGAGACTGGAACCAGACTGGGACCAGAGCAGAACTAAGACCAGAATTAAAACCGGGACTGAGATGGGGATTGAGACCGAGACTGAGACCGGGACCACACTGGGACCAGACCAGAACTAAGACCGGGACTAAGACGGGGATTGAGACAGGGATTGAGACCGAGACTGAGACTGGGACCACACTGGGACCAGACCAGAACTAAGACCAGGACTGAGACCGGGACTCAGACGGGGACCGAAACCGAGATAGAGACGGGGACCGAGACCGGGACCGAGACCGGGATCACACTGGGACCAGACCAGAACTAAGACCGGAACTAAGACCGGAACTAAGACCGGAACTAAGACCGGAACTAAGACCGGAACTAAGACCGGAACTAAGACCGGAACTAAGACCGGGACTGAGACGGGGACCACACTGGGACCAGACCAGAACTAAGACCAGGACTGAGACCGGGAGTCAGACGGGGACCGAAACCGAGATAGAGACAGAGACCGAGACCGGGACCGAGACCGGGACCAGACCAGAACTAAGACCAGAACTAAGACCGGGACTAAGACCGGGACTGAGACGGGGATTGAGACCAGGAGTGAGACCAGTTTAGTCCTGGTTTAGTCCTGGTTTAGTCCTGGTTTAGTCCTGGTTCAGTCCTGGTTCAGTCTGTTATCCATTTTTTTTCCATCAAAAACTGAAAAAACGAATCGTTATCTGTTTGGTTTTTTTTGTTTTTTTTTTCATTTTGGTTTTGGAAACATAATGAAGAATTTTTTTTTTTCATTTTTTATTTTTGGTTTTATTTTAAAAAACAAATGAACGAACGACACAGTGATTACGCACATTTACTTGAAGAAGAGGCGTTTCTTGGAGGATATTGGGGCTAAATTCAAACTTTTATTACATTTTTACTAAAGATCTCGCACCAAATTCTAACAAACATGAAATAGACGTAAATATTTATAATTCTCATTGTCGTAAACTCGGCTCTAAATTCTCCCCTGTAATCTCCAGCCTCGATGAGCTTCATTTGACTGGAGCTGAACGCCGTGGGTTCACAGAGAAAGTTGTGGGTTCTATTCCTCGCACTGTGAATATGAGGTGCTTTTACTTCATCGTGCCATCACAATATTCATTTTTATTTTCTGTATTCAGAGTTTAAATCATGAAATTGCAAACAGATAAATTTCTTAAACGTGTTAATCTGTGTCGACGAACCCAGAATGTGACCAAACGTTTGAAATATGTTTCCAAGTGTCGTTTGTTTATTTTCGTTTTTCAAAATAAAACCAAAAATAAGAAAATGAAAAAACAACGATTTTTTAAATTATTTGTCTCCAAAACCAAAATGAAAAAACAGAAACAGATAATGATTTTTTTTTTTTTTTTCAGTTTTTAATTTTGTGTTTAAATTGAAAAATGGAAAAAACGGATGACGGACTGAACCAGGACTAAACCAGGTCTGAACCAGGTCCGAACCAGGACTAAACCAGGACTAAACCAGGTCTGAACCAGGACTAAACCAGGTCTGAACCAGGACTAAACCAGGACTAAACCAGGACTAAACCAGGTCTGAACCAGGACTGAACCAGGACTAAACCAGGACTGAACCAGGACTAAACCAGGACTGAACCAGGACTGAACCAGGACTGAACCAGGACTAAACCAGGTCTAAATTAGGACTGAACCAGGACTAAACCAGGTCCGGGACCAGACTGGGACTGAGACCAGGACTTTATACCGGGACTAGGACTGGGACTGAGACTGGGATCAGACCAGAACTGAGACCAGGATTGAAACTGGGAGCAGGACCAGGACTGAGACCAAGACTGAGACCAGGAAAACGACAAGGACTGAGACCGGGACCAGGACCAGGACTGAAAACGGTTTAGTCTCGATTTAGTCTTGTTTTAGTCCTGTTTTTAGTCCTGGTTAGTCCTGGTTCAGTCCTGGTTTAGTCCTGGTTTAGTCCTGGTTTAGTCCTGGTTTAGTCCTGGTTTAGTCCTGGTTTAGTCCTGGTTAGTCCTGTTTTAGTCCTGTTTTAGTCCTGGTTCAGTCCTGGTTTAGTCCTGGTTTAGTCCTGGTTTAGTCCTGGTTTAGTCCTGGTTCAGTCCTGGTTCAGTCCTGGTTTAGTCCTGGTTTAGTCCTGGTTCAGTCCTGGTTTAGTCCTGGTTTAGTCCTGTTTAGTCCTGGTTTAGTCCTGGTTTAGTCCTGGTTCAGTCCTGGTTTAGTCCTGGTTTAGTCCTGGTTTAGTCCGTTATCCGTTTTTTCCATTTTTCATTTAAACACAAAATCAAAAACTGAAAAAACGAATCATTACCTGTTTTTCTGTTTTCATTTTGGTTTTGGAGACAAATAATGAAGAAAATTGTATTTTTTTTTCGCTTTTTTATTCCTGGTTTTATTTTGAAAAACGAATAAACGAACGACACGTGGATTATTTTGCATGTCTCACCCGCAGCAGACGACAATCACCGTTTTATCTCTGCACCGTGACTCCGAAAAACCCCAACGCACGAAAGATGCCAAAGACGTCTCCCAAACCCAAACCCGACCGAAAATACTTCACAAAAACCTATTTATTTCAATTTACACCAACAACCTGACGTTTTTTAAGCCAGTTGTTATTATATCGTTATTATCGACCTATAAACCGATGCCTTTACCATGTGAAATGAGACGTTTGCCGATTGTGAATTGCTTCTGTATTTATTGTAAAACGTTTTATTTTGATCATAATGTGCGACGTGTCTTTAAATGCCTTTGTATTTATGCAGTTTTCTGTTCCACAAATGCAGAAAGTGAAAGACCTCGTGCACTGGAACCATTCAAACTACGTCAAATTTAATGAGGTTGGATCTGTCCTGACGACTAAAACTATAAAAAAAAATAACATAATAATAATAATAATAAAATAACAGGACCAGGACTGAGACCAGACCAGGACCAGACCAGAACTAAGACCGGGACTGACACCAGAACTAAGACTGGAATTGAGACCGAAACTGAGACCAGGACTGAGACTGGGATTGAGACTGGGACCGAGACGGCGACTGAGACCAGAAATGAGACCAGGACTGAGACCAAACCAGAACTGAGACGGGGACTGAGACCAGGACTGAGACGGGGACTGAGACCAGGACTGAGACGGGGACTGAGACCAGGACTGAGACGGGGACTGAGACCGGGACTGAGACTGAGACCGGCACTGAGACCAACACTGAGACCGGCACTGAGACCGGGATTGAGATGGGGTTTGAGACCGGGACTGAGACTGAGACCGGGACTGAGACGGGGACTGAGACCTGTTTAGTCCTGGTTTAGTCCTGGTTCAGTCCGTTATCCATTTTTTTCCCATTTTTCATTTAAACACAAAATGGAAAAATGAAAAAACAAATCCGTGTGTCATTCGTAAAATATTTTAGTAGAAAATCAGCCGAGGGCCAGATTAAAGGTGTTGGAGGGCCGGATCCAGCCCCCGGGCCGTGCATTTCTCTGCACAAATATTTGAACTTATTGTTATTTCTGGGGTTTATATGACATGAGTTTTCTGATCCGGACACTTTAGGATCAAAGTCGGTTGGACACGACCCCCGGAACAAAATGAGTTTGAGGCTCCTGGACTAAAGTCGTGGAAAAGTTTAGAAGTTTTGTCAGTGAAAAAGAGCGAGAACACTCCACATACTTCGTTCTACTGTTTTGTTTTGATTTTATTCCTGTTCTGAAGCTTGTGCAGAGAGTTCTTCTGTGGACGTCGGGACTTTGCGTGCTGATAATGCCGTAACATATGACAGTGACACTGTGCCCTGACACATTAGCACGGGGCTTTTTATAGACCACATAGACTTAACTAAATCCTCTGTGCAGCTGCTGATCACTGTGATGGACACAACATCTGTCCACATCTGTCCCCCGCAAGGACAGGACACAGTCTTTAGGTAAAACGGACGATCGAATAACAAATAATAATCTAGGTCAACACGGGCTCGATAAAGATGTGGCCCAGCAGCTGTAGAAAGAAATTTGGAGCTTTTTTTGGGGGGAAATTTAGAGTTCCATATTTCAAGGTTCTCGTTTTTACTGACAACATTTCTAAACTTTTTCATGATCTAAAGCGAATTGTCCATGACTTTATGGCACCTACATGGAAGAAATGTAAGAAATTTGACCTTATATAAGTTTCGAGTACGGAAGCCCTGAGAGGCAAGAGAGAGAAAAAAAGAGGCAGGTCATTTGGGCTCTAATTTCTAAGTGTTTTTTTGTTTTGTTTTTTCAGCAACTCAAAAAAAAAAAAAAAAAAAAATTCTACCTATTCTTTTTTTCTAAATTTTATTTATTTTATTTTTTTCCACAAAAAAAAATGTCTAAAATTTTTTTTTTTCTCTTTTGTTTTTTTTTTCCACCATTGATGTGGCCTGTGTGTTTACAGGAATATACTGGACAGCCACATCAACGGTGGGGGGGCTGTAGAATTTTTATTTATTTATTTTTTTTGAGTTGGTGAAAAAAAAAAAAAACACTTAGAAAATAGAGCCCAAATGACCTGCCTCTTTTTTTTTTTTTTTTTCTCTCTCTCTCTTGCCTCTCAGGGCTTCCGTATTCGAGTGTTCTTGGGCAGATTATTGTGAAGGTTCAAGCTGCACTGACCCTCCGGACTGAAGCTGTGACCTGAGCCGGACCCGGAGTGTGACCTGCAGCGTTTTTAGGGCAGATCTAGAGTGTGACGTCTGATGGAGCAGACGCCTGACACAGTTTTCAAAAACGACGTCACACGAACGTCTTTTTTGTAGATTCTGAAGAGTCATTTGCACGAGTCGATGGTGAAATGATGAACTTTTCAAAATGTCTCAGATCCAGATAAATCTTCTTTTTAATAATAAAACATTTAAGATTTGCCTCGTTTACATGAGAGCTTTAGTTTCAAATGAAAATTAATTTAATTCTGGATAAACATTAATTCCACTTTAAAAAGACTGTGTAATGTAAACACTTAATCCCTAATGAAAATGATAATTCCGGCGTAAGTGGGTGGTTTATTCTGATTTTCAAGCTGAATTAATTTATTCCTCGATGATGTCGACTAGGGTGAATCATTTGTCCAAGTTTTTGAAAAAATTTTGAAAATCAATCTGTACCTAGTATAAATTTTTTACACTTGCAAAATTAAACTTAAATGAGAAATTTCATGAAATTCTCTAGTTGTTTATTGGGTCCACCAAGTCTCTGGAGTTTAGTGTCTGCAGAATCTGAAAAATCTGTTTTTCTTTAATAACATCAAAAATAATTAAGTCAAATAGTATCATTGAAAGTTGAATCAGACTCCAGTCTTTGTGCAGTTCACACTGAGAAGGATCCTCTGAAAAAGTGAGCATCAAACCTCCATGTTTGTTTTCCCAGTGGGACGTGTCTATTGTCACAGTCGATCTTTTCAAGTCTTTTGAACCACATCACTTTTGTTTCTGGTTCTGATATTGTCATATTTTAGTTTTGGGATTCAGGACATCGTATAATTGTGTGGTTGTTGGATCCTAACAGCGGAAAACGACTTGAGAAATTTGTTCTCTGCAAAAGTGAATCAGATGTGTGTGACTCAAACCTCTGTTCAAACTGTTTCTCTTCCCAACGGAATTGAAAAATAGTGAAAGGTGAAGGTGATGGGCAGGATTGATCCACAGGAAGAACCAAAAAGGAAACATTTGTCTGACTAAATCATCCTGAGTTTACAGAGAACATTTTGTCTGTGGAGCGACAACAAAACAAAACCCCGATCCCTCACTCAACCTCGGTTAAGAATTTAAAAAGTCAACGCCAAAGTGAAAGTCTCCAACTGTTCACCAAGAAACACCTTCCACTGCAAAGACCAAGACGTGATGTTTCTGTAAAACCACAAGAACAAGAAAGTGCAGCTCAGTCTGTTTGTTTTCTGCTCCTCTACATTAACAAACAGGATTTTGTTTTGTCGTCGCTCCACAGACAAAATGTTCTCTGTAAACTCAGGATGATTTCTTAGTCAGACAAATGTTTCCTTTTTGGTTCTTCCTGTGGATCAATCCTGCCCATCACCTTCACCTTTCACTATTTTTCAATTCTGTTGGGAAGAGAAACAGTTTGAACAGAGGTTTGAGTCACACACATCTGATTCACTTTTGCATTTATGAAGTTCGCAAACACATTTCTCGAGTCGTTTGTCCGTTATTAGGATCCAACAACCACACAAATACGATGTCTGAATCCCAAAACTAAAATATGACAATATCAGAACCAGAAACAAAAGTGATATGGTTCAAAAGACTTGAAAAGATCGACTTTGACAATAGACACGTCCCACTGGGAAAACAAAGATGATGGGAAGTCCGAGATTGGGGTTGTCACATTTTAAAGTTGGGCATAAGCTGGATTTCTGACATTGGGACAGAAATTCGATTTAGTTTGTGAAAACCGTGCAGAAGGAAAAGCTTTGTGCATTTGTGGACAGAAAAGAGCTCTGTGCTTTTGCTCTCAAACATGTTTTTTCAGAGTTAAAACATTCAAAGTAAGAAATTCAACCACATTTAAAATAAAAAACCTGATGAAACAAATGACGTTCCATAGATAATGTGTAAAACTCAATTGCAGTCACTCATTTACCGACAAACCCCACAAATTACAAAAAAACACTGGCGTCATTTTTGGGAATAATTTCTTGTCGATTTCGCTCATGAATTTAAAACTTCACTTTTATTTTGAAGAGTTCGAGGTCAGAGGACGACTTCTTTTGATACTTGAAATCCGAGCAGCACAACGCGAGAGGAGCCGTCCTGGAGGAAACGTGAGACGATCCGAACGTCCGTGGAGAAAACGTCGGGTATTTGCGGCCTTTCCCGAGTGTGAGCGCCCCCTGGAGGGAGGTGGCCCCATGTCGTGACTGTGATTTCTTATAATAATCCTGTAATACTGGAGCTTTTGATATATCGGCCTCTATGCTCTGCCCGCTCCTCTGCATCTGCTGCTTCCAGTGACTCGTCCATATGTGTCCAAAAAATAAAAATAAAAAAAATGTGGCTCTCATGCAGCTTGCCTCTTGGTTTTTATTTTTTATTTCATTGCCTGTTCATTTAAATCAAAACTAAAAAGCATGTTGAAAAGTCCGAGGATGCTTTCACATTATACATTTATTGTCAGCAACAAATCGTAATGAAACTTGACGGGAAAATAAATGTATAAAGAGAAAACATTAATGGTCCAAAGGTGGATCCTTGAGGCACACCGTCAGATTCAGTTGAACTTTATGGGAGATTTACTGTTTTTGAAAGAACAAACAAACTGCAGATCCACAAATAATGAACTTATTATTTGATAGAGAGTAATTCCACGAACTTCTTAACCTTGTGCCTGATTTCATAAAGTCACATTTTAGTTTATTGTGGAAAAACTGTTCATTCAGGTCCCACTAAAAGCCAGTTTGTTTGTTTATTCGTGTGAACAGGCCCAATATCTGCATTTGGGCCGTTAAAAGGTAAATTCTACTATAAAACAGAGCTGAAACAGTAAAACTTAAAGGTTGTGGAGCATCTGTGGTGTTTGCCAGGAGCCAGTGTTGGGAAGTTTACTTTAAAAATGTAATCCCCTACAGATTACAGATTACACACACCAAAATGTAGTTTGTAACAGAATCCATTAAATTACTTAAAGTGAGTAATGTAATCTGAATACTTTGGATTACTTGATTTGCTGTAGAGAAACAAAGACTCGGACATCGTAACATCAGAAGTTTTGTCTGATAAAAGAAAATTTAAAAAAGTCCAGACTTTACTGAATCAAATTAAAAATATTATTGATAGAAGATGAGGAGACACGGTCCACACGGTTTATGGTTTAGTCCTGTTAAATCCTGTTTGAGACATAGTTTAAACCTGGATTGAGTCTTGGTTTAGTCCTGGTTTAAATCTGGTTTAAACCTGGTTTTAAACCTGGTTTTAGACCTGGTTTTAGACCTGGTTTTAAGCCTGGTTTAGTGTCTGGCAATGAGTGGAATTACAGAAAAAAAAAAAAAAAAAAAAGGATACAGCCCAAAATGTGAAAACAGGAAAATACCGCCGTGTAATCCATTTATTTCAACAAAGTAACTGTAATCCAATTACCACTCACTGAAACAGTAACTGTAACTGAATACAGTTACTCATCATTTGTACTCTGATTACATAACTCCAGTACATGTAATCTGTTACTCCCAACACTGCCGGGAGCAAAGGGGGAAGTTGGATGGATGTAAGAGCCAGAAGAGCAGCACACGGCTCTGGGAGGTGGAAGAGCAGTAAAAAACATGAGACTTGTATTTGAGTTTAGAGGATTTTGCTGTGTGTCGACTTGGCAAAAAAGTGAAGAAGCAAATGAGAAATACCCAATATTTACAATCTGTACATCTGCAGACTGTGATGGTTAAACTCAAGCATTAGGTTCATGGTTTTAACCTCAAAGTAATTCAAGTCAAGTCAAGTCAAGTGCACTTGTATAAATATGTCAAATATTAAAGGTTCAGCTCACAAGATCACAACAGTAACAACAGCAGCAGTGGACAGAGCACAAACTCCAAACAAAAAAAGCCTGTGGTTTTATCACAGTTCTCAGTCATATTTTGCCACAGGGATGTGAGCTTCATGTCTGTGATCCAAAACCAGAAAGTCCATGAGAAGGTGTCGTCCATGTGACTGAGTTTATGTGAGTGGTGAAGTGTGGGGAGCGGATCTACTGCAGCAGCCCTGACACCCTACAAACTTTAGAATAATTGTGTCACTGAGTTGTGGCTCTTTGGGTTTTCAGTTCACCATCGGGACGTCGTTGTTCTTTACCTGGTGTGAATATATCGACCTGTCAAAGATTGATCCTGTCAGATCTCAGAAGCTCAGCACTTCACCCACGTTGCCTAATAAGAAAGTTGTGTGTCCGTTTATGATGGTGTTGAGTGACTGAATAATGTTCTGTAAAGTGTCTTTGAGTGTTCAAAAAAGCACATTATAAAACTGATGCATTGTTATTATTATTATTATTATTATTACCAGGCACCATGTGGCCAGTTCCGTCGGTTTACACGAGCGCACAGTCTGTCTGTCTTCATGTGGCAGCGGTGAGGCTCCTGTGTGGTCGTCCTGACTCTCCTCACTCCTGTGTGTGGATGGAGGGAGAGGAGCAGGTGCTTGTGTGAAGCACTTGTACGTGTGCGATTGTACGTCTCGACCTGTTGCACATGTGAGCGGTGTGTTCACTGACCGACAGGAGTGGGAATGTTTTAAAGCAGTTAGGTGCATTTTTAACCTGGGTTCCAGTTGTTTGGAGCGTTTTCCAAGGAAAGAGAAATACACTGACTGCTTGTCTTTTTTCAAAGATGCTCATGTGTGATTTTTCTCACTCTCACTCTCTTACACTCATCTTTCTCTCACTCTCACTCTCTTACACTCATCTTTCTCTCTCTGTCTCTCCCTCTGTCACACTCATCTCTCTCTCTCCCCCCTCCCTTCTGTGTTTTTATCCTCCTCTCGTCCTCACATCTGCTCAGTTTCTCTCAGACTCTGCTCTCCACTCGTTTCTGTTTCTGTTTCTGTTCTTGTGGCTCTTGTGGCTCTTGTGGCTCTTGTGGCTCTTGAGTCCAGTGGTGGGGGCCCGAGCCGTGCGGGGGCCCCTCTCTCGTTCTCTCCGGGTCGGTGTGGGTCTCGGTGTGGGTGGATCAGGATGCGTTCTCTCCTGGACAGCAGCAGTTGGCAGTTCGGTCCGGCCGGGAGAGACTCTCTGGACTGGACGCCGCCCTCGGCTCTGCCCTCCACCGACAAACAGCTCGCAGTGAGTCACAGCACGTTTAACCCACTTTAATTTTGTTTTTTTATTCTATTTAAGTCTGTTTTATTTCTGTAATATAACACAGATCTTATTTCTATAATCATTTCTTTATTAAATTGTTTTATTTTTCCTGAAGTTGAAACAGATTTTACTCTGCACCAAAAGAATTCAAGATAAATTTTATATTATTTCAATAAATTAAATGAATAAGGCGAGATTCTGCAGGTTTATTTATTGTAACCAAACCCATGTAGAAATAATTCAATTAACGACATACATACAAAATAAAATAACCAAACAATAATAATAAATCTAATTAATCTAAAAGAAAAATGACTCTTTACAAAACCCTTTACTTCATTTTATTTCTTAAAATTCTTATTTCATTTCATTATATTATTTAATTTTAAAACATTTTTCTCTCCCCCTTATTTAATGTAATTAGTTGTTTTGTTTTTTTTTACGTTTATTATTATTTATTAATTTATGTATTAATTTATTTTCTGTCTGTTGTCCGTTTACATATAAGTGTAAGTGTGTTTCTATTGTGGGATTATAATTTAAAATTGTGGAAAAAAATTTTAAAATAAAAAAATTAAGTGTAAAAAATCTTAAATATAGGGAGATCATTTTGAAATTTGGTTTGTAATTTATGAACCAAAAAACGTGAGAAAAAAAAATTACAAGTTTTTCATCATGTAAGGTTTTCATATATATATATATATATATAAATATATATATAAAACATTTTATGTGTAAAAAAAAAAGTCCAAAATGCACCATGAGCCAGGTTCAAATTTCTTTCTGTTGACACATGATACAGTGTCGTAGTACTGAGACTGTTTTTTTGTGGTCTTGGTCTTGTCTTGGACTCGATTGCGTTTGGACTCGGTCTTGTCTCGGTCTCGAGGTCTGAGGTGATAAAACAGAGACAGATTTATAAAAACACTAATATAAATGCGTCAAAATAACTGTAAAATACAAATAAAAGTAAAAAATTACAAAAATGGTCTCTGATTTGATCTCGATGGGACAGTTTTGTTGTTTCCACATGAAAGCTCGAAACCAAACTGACCAAAAAAAAAAAAAAAAAAAGTAAAGTAAAGTGCAGTAGGTTGGATTTGTTGGTGTGTGTCCCGTGTGCAGTGAGTGTGAAACTCCTCTGGTCTCTTCTTTACGTCTTTACTGGGTCAAATCCATCGATGATCCAATGAACTGGACTCGAGTTTAATCTGCTTCAGTCGTGTAACTCTGACCGTGAGCGCCCCTGCTGGACACTGTTATAACTCTGATAAACTGACAAAAGACAAACACTAATATTTTAACATTATTTATTTAATTAATTATTATTATTATTACTTAATGTTTGTGGGTCCTGGTTTAGTCCTGGTTTAGTCCTGGTTTAGTCCTGGTTTAGTCCTGGTTTAGTCCTGGTTTAGTCCTGATTTAGTCCTGGTTTAGTCCTGGTTTAGTTCTGGTTTCGTTCTGGTTTCGTTCTTGTTTAGTCCTGATTTAGTCCTGATTTAGTCCTGGTTTAGGTTTAGTCCTGGTTTAGTCCTGATTTAGTCCTGGTTTAGTCCTGGTTTAGTCCTGGTTTAGTCCTGGTTTAGTCCTGGTTCTGGTTTCGTTCTGGTTTCATTCTGGTTTCGTTCTTGTTTAGTCCTGATTTAGTCCTGATTTAGTCCTGGTTTAGTCCTGGTTTAGTCCTTCTGGTTTGGTTTAGTCCTGGTTTAGTCCTGGTTTAGTCCTGGTTTAGTCCTGGTTTCATTCTGGTTTCGTTCTTGTTTAGTCCTGATTTAGTCCTGATTTAGTCCTGGTTTAGTTCTGGTTTCGTTCTGGTTTCGTTCTTGTTTAGTCCTGGTTTAGTCTTTTAGTTTAGTCCTGGTTTAGTCTTAGTTTAGTCCTGGTTCAGTTCTGTTTAGCGTCTGTAAATTCATATTCGTACTGATGAAAGTGTAATCGTACATTTTCATTTAGTGATTGTAATTCTTGACGTCGTAACTTTTCAATTCGTATTCTGATGGATAAAATACACACGACACATTTTATGTACGACTGGACTCATTCCAGAGTTTAACAATATTTATTTTATGCTCAACTACAGACAAATATGCACAGATTTCATAAATATACATTATGTGTTTAAATGAATAATGGAAAAAACAGATAACGGTTGTTTCCGTGACTTAAACTGCACTTGTCAAACAAAATAACACTATT